TTAATTTTATTTGTCTTAAAAATTATACATTTATTTGTTCTCAATTAGTGACGGATTAAAACGTTTGTGATAAATTAAATATATACCGGTAGGATTTAAATATTCTTTTAAGGTAATAAATTACCTTATTGCATTTTGACTTTTCCGGTATAATTTAGTTGACACAAAACATTTTACTTCTGGCTTTCGGTCACTCCAGCTAGTATTTAGAACATAAACTATTTATTTAACTGGTAGGATAACAAATCCTATTAAGGTAAAAATTATTATCTTATTGTATTTTGTGTTCCAGTTTAATAAATAGTTTGTTCGAAATGTTTTTGTGTTATTTGATGTAACAAATAAATTTAACTGGTAAGGTCTATAAGAAATCCTTTTAAGGTAATAAAATATTACCTTATTGCATTTTATATTTTCCAGTTAAATTTATTTGATAATTGACACTTTAAACAAGACACTTTAAAATAATACTTTACTAGCTTAGCCAACTGACAGAATACATCATGTAGAACTATTTAAGTTAAATGCAACAAAAGAATGGGGACATTTGAAAAGCTTTGGCATCATCAAAAATGTTTATCAAAATCTAGGGGTCTAACAATAGCTACGTAGTTTTAAGTATTTAAATCCAAATATAATAACTAATTCCATCTTCACACTTTAGTAATTTCTTTTTGAGAAATGGTAAAGGCATCCAAAAATGGGGTTGGGTACCCCGTTCTTACTTCGGCCTAATGTGTGACCATAAATGGAGCAACAAGGTATCCAAATGTATCTCAATAAGTTAGTTCATGTACCTATATGAATCGAGATTATTTTAAGATTATGTAAAAAGTATATGTAATAGAAGTTAATGCAAGAACAAAAAAAATCGGATTATTTGAAGATGGTGATTGGGATACATAAACGAATATTGAGATTATTTAAACATTAATTATATAACAGTATTTAAAAGGTAAGAATCATAGAAAAAATTGATTATTAGAGATAATGAATGGAGATGCTCTTAGGTGCACAGATTCATTCCTTTAATAAATATTTACCTATATAGTAGCCCTACGACAAAACTAACCCATCCTAAATGCACAAATTAGACTTTAGATGTTTTTATTTGGATTGAAATTTGTCGATCTAGTGTATTCTGTCTGTATTGATCTGGTCTGGACTGATAAATGTCTGGACTCTGTGTATTTTATAACTATCAAAGTCTGGTCTGACCTGATATTGTCTCGTCTCGTCTGGAATTGAAAACACTACAACTAAAAACATCCTATTTTATCTATCTTCCCAAAATAAAACTAGGTTTAAATATGTTTTAAGTCCGTAAAAATATAGCACAATTTGTTTTACATCCCTACGGATTTTATTTTTTATTTTTCCATCCCTGAATTTTATGGTGATTTTCTTTTTAGTCCATCACCGATGATAACAACTTCCGTTACAAAAAAACTACCCTGACTAAAAAACTTCATCTTATTCTTTGTCATATTATTCAAAAAGTATTTAATTTTAATTTTTAGAAGGTTTTTAATACATATTTGAAAAATGTAAATAATTAGTTTTACATTACTTTAACTCTCATATTAGTCTCAAAAAAATTATCAAATGATAACTTTAAAAGTTTCTAGTATATTTTTGCAATCGGTAATAACTTTTTCCCCAAATTGAGTGGTTTCGAAGTAGGAGGTGCACTAAAAACAAAGTGTGTCATATTTGCAGGGACTAAACCATATTCAAGCCATAAAACTAAAGTATACTCTATCTTCTTATTCCACTTACCATAACTTAATAGGATAATCATATTTTGATTTGTAATAAATATAAATGATAATAAAAAATAGTTTAACTTATATAAAAAATCGTTAAAATATATAAAATTCTAAAATAATTTTGAAAAATACTAAAATAATAAAAATTAAAAAATTACTCTTCGTGTATTTAAAAGTTTGCTACACTTTCCTATTTGGGATATATTTAAAACTTCATCACACTTTTCCTTTTTGGTAAGTTTTTTCATTAAAAATACTCAATCATCCTTACTATTTGATTTTCTATCTTCTCTTTCCCACTTTTTCACATTCTCTCCTGATTTCACATGTAGTGATCTCTTAAATATAGAGTGTAATACTTGAAATTTAATTGAAAAGGATTAATAGTACTACTCATACCAATAGAGGTGCATCTCCTTTTAAGGGAGCTCATCGTCTAAGAACTCCAAAGTTAAGCGTGTTTGCACGGGAATAGTCTTGGGATGGGTACCCTCTGGGAAGTTTCTCAGGGCACTCACGAGTGAGGACAAAGTGTGCGGTAAAGGCTCGTGCAGGGCCGAGGAGTTAGATGGAGGGAATAATTTTTTTTAAAAAGTAAAAAACTTTAAAAATAAACAAAAAATAGATAAAACACCTTAAAGAAATATATGGAGACATTTGTGACGGTCTTGCCCCTTCCCAGCAACGTTACCTCTGATCCGGGTAAAAAATGTCATTTTGTGTAAAAACTATCATTTTTGTTCTTTGAAAATTTCAAAATTTTCTCAAAAACTGTCATCAAGATGACATTTCTGACACATATTGGCATTTTTCCTGTAATCGAAGCTTGTGGTGTCCGGAGGTTGCTGAGGCGGCAACATAAGCGTGCAATTTCTTTTTACATTTTTATGAGATTTTTCCATAAATATTATCAAAATATAACTAATGGACATCAATATTACTATAGTTACTAAGAACAGTCACTATAATGATAAAGTTGAACACAATTATGGTTACTAAAGTTACTATGATAGTTACTAAGTCATATTTTTATCCACTACCTTAATTGTAGTCACATATTTGTCATTATTTCTTTTTTAATTTATTTTATTTTGATTTTTAAGCTTTTTTTATAATTTCTTATTTTACGTTTTTTATTAATTTTATTTAATTTTTATTTCATGTTCTTTACATTTTTAGCATTTTTATTACAAATAAAGTTGTGTTATTACTTTTATAGTTTTTATGTATTAATGAAATATGAATTGTAAAAAAACAAATCAAGGGTATAATTGGAAAGCTAGTCCTAATTAGGAAATTTTTAAAATATTAAATTATGATCCTATTTTACCAATTAAAGTTTCATTTAGTCCTATTGAAAGTTTCTAAACATATCGGAGCTATATGTACTCTACACAAAATCATCATTTATAAAATTAACAACGAGTCTCTCCTTAAGCTCAAATTAGCAATATTACACGTGGTTGCATTTTTTTAATATAAAAGACCGACTTTTATATTAAAATCGAGAAAAGATACAAGATAACATTGAGACACTTGTGATGGATCCGATTGTGAACTCTGAGAGTAGACATAGAATCAGCCACATCATACAAAGCAACCTGATTCGCTAGACACGAAACGAACAATTTAATGCCCGAACAACCGGGACTGAAATATTGCCTATCAAACGTCTGTGAGAAGTCCAAAATTTCAAGCCAAACCTACTGAAACCAAAATGAAAACGAGTACTTCTAATGAAAAACCAAAAGTGAAATAAAGTGTTTCCACAAAACTTTTCATGACACGAATGTGATTCTGAAGGAGGACGAGCTCTATCAGTGTCTACGCACTCTAGAAGAAAGCAGACACAAAACCCCTGACCAAACAAAGCTAGCCGGGACACCAACAAAACTTCCCACACCAAGAGAGAGAAATCACCTCGGAGCACCAGTGCTCGGGAAAGCATTTTTGTTAAAAATGCATATCTACAATGGGTTTTAATTTAGACCGATCCATGAAATTAACGACGTACACAATCACATAATCAAAAAATGCATTTGTTCCCGGTGAGATGGTACTAGTAGTTAGGCTGGGACTTTAGAACCAAGAACTAGATAATCAAATCGGACCGGATCATTAAGACTCAGTTTGGTTTGATTCTAGCATTTATTAGTTACTTGTTAATGATTCAGTTTCTATTTTATATTAACGGTCCAATTCTCTTTTCCTATTATCCAGACTATTTTAGTTTAGTTATTTAAGTATTTAACGTTATTAGTTATTTCAACAGGTTCCTCTAAGACTCTTAAACCTCTTACTAGAGGTTCAAATGGTCAGAATTGAGTGCTATGCTCGTGACCCTTTAAGATGAATGTACTTCTTGGTGGCTAATTACGTTGCTAATTCAATATCATAATTATTGATCGTAGTGAATATGTTATTTTGTGTTAATCGCTAAAATTTCCAGTTTGGTATGTATTTATGTTATAAACTCAACTTTTAAGATTTGAAATGATGGTAAACATATTTGTATTTCATGTAATTTCAAACATCGAATGCTTTGTTGGCACAACTTTAACGGTGATTTGTAAGTTTTTTTTTTAAATTTAGGAACCGTTAAATGACAAGAATCGAACCGTTACGTATGGTTCATTTCTATATCGGTTCTACAAAAATTATAAAAATCGAACCGTTATTAAGATTTGATATTTTTCAAAGGTTAAATCTATTTTGCTTAAAAACCGAACCGGTCTCATACCTACTAGTTGTTTATAATTTTATAAACCCTTTGGACATTATGTTCATAATGTTTATGAGAAAATTGACTTTACATCCTACTTTTTTGTTGATATTGAATTTTGCACCTCATTTTGAAAAACTTTGATCTTTCATCATAAGACATACTACCTCCGTTCCATTAACATTGAGACAGAAGAAGGTGACACAATTATTAAAAAAAGTTGGTTTATGTGGTTGATATTGAATTGATAAAATAAGAACGATTAAGAGTCACAGAAATTTTACCAATTATGGTATGCGACAATCTTAGTGGAATTTCCCGAAAAAGTAAAATGAGACAATCTTAACGAGACAAAGGGAGTAATATTTTGTGAAGAAATATTTTTGAATAAAATGAAAAGTCAAATGATTTTTAAATGGAATGAAATGCAACGTCAAAGTTTTTGAAAATGTAATGCATAATCAATATCACTCAAAAAGTATAGTGTAAAATCAAATTCTCCTAATTTTTTTTGAGTCAGTACAAGGATAAGTTTGTCTTTCCTCATAGCTTGGGCCTCTGAATCTCTGATCCTCTCCATCTGTAATCTGTAATCATAGAAAGCTCCCCTGAAGAAGAATGGCTTGAAGAGTTGGCAACGCCTCTTAGCAGCGTTCTCAACCACCATTTCTCTCTGTCTATCTATGCTCTCTCCCAACCTAAGCTGCTGTTGTCCTTAACTAATCTCCCACAACTCCTTCAATGGCTTGTCTGCCAATCTGCTTCAGTGCAGTTTTCATTTCTCTATAAGTTTAGTTACGCTGTAAATTCAAGCGTAGATATTCAGAGATACAGCGAGGGTGTTGGTGTTGTGGGGGAACGATGCCGTTGGTGAGAGTCGGTGTGAGAAATGAGTACGCCCTGGGAGCGGCGGAATTGTACAAAGAGGCGGACAAAGAGGATCCCAAAGCAGTGCTAGATGGTGTCACAGTCTCCGGACTTGTTGGAATCTTGCGCCAGCTTGGTGATGTTGTTGAGTATGTTGCTCACTTGCTCCTGATCTTCTCAGTTTTGCTTGAAATTTTATAGAATGCCTTGAAAATTGTAGAATTTAGTAAAAGTTTATTAGAAAAGGAGCAGGGAAGAAGACGGAAAATGATATTCTTATTAGAAAAGCTGTAGTCATAACTAACTACAACTAACATAACAGGAGCCTAACAGATTCTAATTACAAAGTAATACACGAGTAGCATTCATATACTATTCCTAACATTCCCCCCTCAAATTGAGGGTGATTGAGTTGGAAAATCAGTCACACTCAGTTTGCTTTTGAACTCAAGAAAAGTGGAAGTAGACAGAGGCTTGGTCAACACATCTGCAATTTGTTGGGAAGCTGGAATGTGAAAGACTTCAAGCTATTTGAGATGAACTTTCTCTCTTACAAAGAAAAGATCAATTTCCATGTGTTTTATGCGAGAGTGTAAAACAAGATTGTGAGCAAGCTGGACTGTACTGAGATTGTCACAGTAGATTCTTGGAGTGATAAAAGGAGCTTGAAGTTCTTTGATTAAAAAATTGAATCCATAAAAGTTCTGATGTAGTATCTGCTAGGCTTCTTTATTCAGCTTCAGCTGAAGATCTTGCTACCCTCAATTGTTTTCTAGACCACCAGGAAATGATATTAGGACCTAGAAAAATGCATGACCCAGATGTAGATTTCCTATCTGTAGGATCTGATGCCCAGTCAGCATCACAAAAAGCTGAGATAGATAGAAGTGTTCTTGTCAAGGGGAGAGGTTTAATGATTACTCCATGAGTAGTTGTTCCAGAGAGATATCTCAGAATGTGTTTCACAGCTCTCCAGTGTTCTTGTAAGGGATTAGCCATGAACCGACACACCATATTTACAGCATAGCTAAGTTCTGGTCTAGTTAGAGTAGCATATTGTAGAATTCCAACAACATATCTGTATTGAGAGGGATCAGGAAGACAATCAGTCCCTTCATTGGTGAGTTTGCAAGTACTCACCACAGGTGTTTTCACACCCTTAGAATCTGTCATCCCAACTTTGTGAAGAAGATCTCTGATGTATTTGGCCTGTGAAAGATGCAGACAACCATTAGGAAGCTTTCTGACTTGGATTCCTAAAAAGAAATCTATGTCTCCCAAGTGTTTGAGAGAAAAGGAAGAGTGTAGAGTTTGAATGATGTGTTGGATAACTGAGGAATTGTTTCCAATGACAAGGATGTCATCAACATAGATGAGGATGTAAATTTGGATCCCAGGCTTTAGGTATATAAGAAGAGAAGGATCACTCTTGCTCTGTTTGAACCCAACATTGTATAAGACTGAAGTAAGCTTGTGAAACCAAGCCCTTGGAGCTTGATTAAGTCCATACAAAGATTTATGTAGTCTGCAAACAAGGGATGTGTCCTTAGCTTGAAAACCAGGAGGTTGTGACATGTAAACCTCTTCCTCAAGGTCTCCATTGAGGAAGACATTGTTGACATCAAGTTGCTGTATAGACCATCGGTGAGAGACAGCAAGAGTGAGAGACTACTGGAGAAAATGTTTCTCCAAAGTCAAATCCAAACCTTTGATGAAACCCTTTGGCTACCAACCTGGCTTTGAACTTATTTACTGAACCATCAAGATTTTCCTTTACTCTGAATACCCATTTGCAACCAATAACCTGCTTTCCTGGAGGAAGAGAGACTAGGGACCAAGTTTTGTTAGATATCAAAGCATTGTATTCAGATTGCATGGCTGCAAACCAAGATGGAGAAGAAAGAGCTTGCTTAACTGATTTGGGCTCTATATGAGCTAACAGTAAGGTTGGATTAAGTCTAGGTTTAACAATCCCAGATTTGGATCTGGTTTGCTTTGGATGAGAGTTATGGGGAGGACTTGGAGATGTAGAAGAGGAGGAATCAGATGATGTGGAGTGAGAATTGACAGTTGTGTCAATGAGATGATTAGAAGCAGTTGAGTCATTTTGAGAGGGTGGTTGATGATGATTGTGAGGACTAGGGTTTAGCTGAGGTGTAGTTGAAGGAGATGTGTGCAAGGAAGATGATCTGGAAGATGGGTTAGCATCATTGTTAGAGTGGAGGTGTGAAGAGAGGGAAGGAGGACAAATTGTTATTGGGGTTGAGAGTGAAACTGGAACACTAGTAGATAAAGTGGATGTGGAAGGAAAGAGAGTGGGATAAGGAAATTTGGTTTCATAAAAATAACATCCCTGGAAAGATAGATTTTGCCACAAGGAGAAAGAAATTTGTATCCTTTATGATGAGATGAGTATCCTAGAAAAACACATTCTTTTGATTTTGAATGGTAATCTAGTTTGTGCTTGTTGTAAGGTCTAATGAAAGGATAACAAGAGCAACCAAAGGCTTTGAGAAAGTTATAGTCAGGGAGAGTGCCATAAAGTTTGAAATGAGGTCTGAGATTGGCAATAGATTTGGATGGAAGTTTGTTGATAAGGTGTACTGCAGTGGCAAATGCAGTGTCCTAGAATTTAAATGGTAAAGAAGAATGAGCTAATAGACATAGACCTTTTTCAACAATTGTTCGATGTTTCCTCTCAACAACACCATTTTGATGGTGTGTATGAGGACAGATAACTCTATGATTGATGCCCTTGTCAGTGAGGAATTTGGTGAATGACCTGAATTCTCCTCCCCAATCAGATTGTATGGACTTGATAGAAATGTTGAATTGATTTAGGATGTATTGATAGAAGTTTTGAAAGGCTAAGAAAGCATCAAATTTCTTTTTGAGGAAATATATCCAAGTATACTTAGTGATGGCATCAATAAAAGATATATAGTAACTATAACCATCAAAAGACTGAATAGGAGCTGGTCCCCATAAGTCAGTGTAAATCAGTTCAAAAGGATAATGAAATACAGTTGTAGAGGGATAGGAAGGTAATCTGTGAGCTTTACCAAGACAACAAGCAGAACAAAAGTTTATTGCACTTTTATTTAGATGAGACAGATTACAATTTACAAAGATTGAGTACAAACTTAAGAGCCTCAAAATGAGGATGGCCTAGTCTTAAATGCCAAATATTACAATTTGTATTTGACTGAGAGTTATTACAAGTAGACATAAGAGAACTAGGACATATAGAACTATGTGGAGAGGACTTGGACAAGTTTGCAGTAGACTGGTGAGACCCAAGAGCTGGAAATGACTGGAACTTGTAAAGACCATCTTCACCAAGAATGCCATATAGCAGAATTTGTTTAGAAACCTGGGATTTAACAAAGCATTCATGAGGATGAAATTCAAAAAATGCATTGTTGTCCTTGGCAAATTGACTGACACTTAAATAGCTTTTTAGTTATGGCAGGAACATGTAAGATGTTATTGAGAGATAAAGAAAGAAATGAGTGATAAGGAGAGGGAAAGGATGAAAAACCAATAGACTTAATTTCCAAACCTTGACCGTTGCCCATAAAAAGCTTATCAGTAGTAGCAATGGGCTCACTGTGTTGAAGGTTGAGAGGATCAGCAGTGACATGATGTGTAGCTCTAGAGTCTGGGAACCAGTTTTGAGTATTTGGAGCTGGTCCAAGTATAGAGGAATTTGCAGAAGCCCAGGCTGCAGTTGGCACAGTAGGTGATGAGTTGAATTGGGAAGGATGGTTAGGTGATGGAGTATAAGATGGATAAGCTGGTTGTACTGTACTGAATTGTGATGGATGAGTTGGATTAGGTGAATATCTTGCTGTGACTGGAGGAGATGATTGGTATTGGTATTGATTTGGATATGGACTTGGTGCTGAAAAAGGAGTCTGTTGAGGTTGGTAAGGCTGGTTTGAGCAAGGATTTTGAGGCTGATGTATAGTAGAAGGATGAGGATTAGAGATGGTATAGGCTGGATTGTATCTGTGGTAACATACAATTGCACTGTGACCATTTTTGCCACAAACTTGACAAGTTACTGAGCTTCTACCACCTGAACGACCACCTCTGCCTCTGTTAAAACCTCCACGACCTCTACCTCTGTAGGAGGAATTTTCAGCAGAAGTGTCAAACTGAGCAATTTGAGCTGAAGCATTGTCGGAAGTATTCTGAGTTTTAACTCTTTATACTGCTCCTAATTGTTAAATTTCGTATTGCTATCTCAACCCTTTATTGGATGTTTGAGGCGACCAAGTTTAGTAGTTTCGATTTGGAAGTTTCCCGTACTAAGATTTATTTATTAATTTACTTTAAATTGTGTGCTATCGTTAGATGAGAGTAGCACCTAATTGAAGGGCTGAGGTGATTTAATGCAATGTTAAGTCAAATGATGGTTATAATGACTCCGCAGTATGTAAAGAGTTGCTGATTTGTTTGGAAGACAGAAATGATACGAAAAGAAAATAGAGAGAAAATTACAGTAGAAATCTGTGTAGAATTAAAATGCTGGAAAATCATTAATATAAAATGTTGGTCGAAACTCGATATCTTTATTTTTATTTTTATTTTTTTTTAAATTTATGTCTATTCCATGAATACAAAGAAATCTAATCATATGTAAAAAATTAAGAACATCAATCATCTTTCACTTTCCAAGGTAAAACCCATCATTATAAAGTATCTTCCATTCTTCCCTTCACATTTATTTTCCCCTTTCCTAGCATTTTCAGGTATCCACACATAGCCAAAGGGAACTAGAAAATTTTCAAATTTAAGCTTTACTCATACTTCTGTTCTTGTGCTTCCATGTTCATATTTTCTGTTCAACTTGTTTCTTTTCCTTACCATGCTAGTGAAAAACGTAGCCATTTATTGCCATGTAGACATGTAGTTGTTTTTCAAGAAATACTTATCTACTTTAGTACCCAAATAATAATTTTTTTTCTCGTCTCCTGCTGTGTGAAATTTGCTAATGCAACATCACCTTTACATTGGATTATATTCTTATGTGCATGTGATAAGAGGGATTTGCTCTAGAACCCCAGTGAATAACTTTCTTACAAGTTTCATTTTCAGCATTTTCCTCTTGAGATGTTTTTGGTCAGGTTAGGGTGTTTTTTGGTATGGCATTTACTGTTAATTTAGATAATAGTATATATCGTTACGTTTGTGAGATTATATCAGTCAAGAGTCTTCATTACTGATCCTAAAGTGGATTTCATATGCCTTGTCAACTTCTAGATTTGCAGCAGAGGTCTTTCATGGTTTGCAGGAGCAAGTAATGATCACATCCTCTAGAAGCCGTAAATTGATAGCCCGCGTGCAGAGTATTGAAACTGCACTTCCCTCATTTGAGAAATCAATACTAGCACAACAAAGCCATTTGCATTTTGCTTATACAACTGGTAAGATTCCCTCACGTTTTATTCTTAAGACTGTTTGATGAACAAAAGACTCACATTTTATGGCACTATAACTAAACCAATATACCCTTTTTTTAAGTTTTTGTTGAAGTGTTCACCTATCACTATGTGTAAATAAGATTCTCCCCAATAATTTGTTTCTTACAGATTTCACCTATCATTGTGTACAAACAAAGTTACTGCCCCTACTATTGCTTGCAAACTGTATAGGACTTAATGACTGACTTACTACCTCCGTCTCAAAAAACGATTCCTGTTTGACCAAGGTACAACTTTTTAATTTTGGTAATGTACAACTGCCATAAATCATTGTATTGTATTTTTAAAATTTATTTGTGTACTTGACTTAAAATTATCATATATGACTTGTTTGTCACTCTCAGTTTGGCAAATTAAATGAAAACTTAGTTTTGTTTTAAGCATGACTCTTTTTTGTGACAAAAAGTGTTTGTAACAGGACTTCTTTTTGAGGGGAGGAGACGGAGAGAGTATTACTCTTGAAACTGATTTATGCACCAGTATTTGGTGAAATCATTGCCAAATTCATCCCCATTTTCCTTGCAAACTCACTCCTATTCTGACTAGTGTGACCCACCCCACACTAACCCAACCCAACCCAACCCAACCATATTGAACAATGTGGAAATAATTGATTTTAATGCTCTAAGTCCTCATGCTTTATAAACTTCCTGTCTTCACATTCTTGAAATTCTGAAATCTTGTTCGCTTAATCTTTTACACTTTTGACCCTAAAGGTTGACACAACTTCTGGGTTTTTTCTTTCAAAATCCTTATGCAATGAAGTTCTTTTGCAGGTTCCAAATGGCACACTCATAGTCATTGCAAAGAAAACCATTTCATATACAGTGACTTGCCCAGGTTCCTCATGGATTCCTATGAAAAGTGTCGTGGACCCCCCCGGCTACACTCTTTAGACAAGTATGGACATTATAAGTATATACTTCCTCCGTTCTTTAATATAATCACATTGGGTTTTTTTCACTATTTTCACATCTTACTTTGACCAGAATTTTCTACTATTATATATAGAGCCCATTTGGTAGAACGAAAATCGGCTGATTTGGCTGATTCTGCTGAAATTTATGAAGTTCTGGCTGAAGTGGGGGTGCATTGACTGATTCTGCTGATTTAAGAAAAAATTATTTTTAAAATATATTTCATTAATAAAATAAAGAAAAAATTATATGTAAAATAGCTAAAATAGTCATCTACAGTAACTTAAGCCAATACAGCCAGAAAAGTAACTTCAAGCTTACTTTTTTTGCTTATTACACAATTCAGCACGCCAAAGCAAAAGTTACGTGTTTTATGAAAAAGTTGGCCGATAAGCCTCATAAGCTCAAAACCAGTGTTGCCAAACGGCCTCATAATCAAATTATTATGTATAAAATGTTATTAAATTTATATTAATGTGAATTTCAAAAATATTAACTTTTTATGATTTTTACTAATACATAATTAAATATAAGCATAGTCAAAGTTGTGTGTTGGAAAACGTGAAAGTCAAACGGTTGCAACTATTAAAGAACGGAGAATAGTATAAGGTTTGAGCTTCCTTCTTGTTGTGCTCAATGGTTACTCGCTGCTTCTTTATATATATATATATATATATTATTTATATATTTTTCATTCAGATTTGACCCTGGTGGTTCTGGATCTTGCTTAAAAAGGTATTCTGATCCAACTTTCTTTAAGCGAGCTTCAGCTGGGTCTGGTGAAGCATATACTGGGAAATTCCTAAAAAATAAGAAAGGACGCAGGTTTAAGGTATGCCTTCATATCTCCCCAAATTACATGTTAATGTAGCATGTGTCAGAAATATATTTGAATAACTAATACTCCCTCCGTCTGATGAGAGCAGAAAGAAAACAATCAACTGTTAGCAACTGTTGCCAAAGCTTAAAGCTAAAACTCCAATATTATTAATTGATGAATCCAACAGTCCTCATTAGGGGTTTAAATAACCCTCTAATTCTAATAAGAATAGGAATCCTAATTAAATCATACTAGGAAACTAAATAGAATAGGAAACCTCTAATTCTAATAAGAATAGATGTCCTATTTAAACCATTCTAGGAAACTAAATAGAATAGGAAACCTCTAATTCTAATAAGAATAGAAGTCCTAACTAACTTCAAATAGGAAACAAATAATTTAAATCCTAATTAAGTCCAAATAGGAAAAAATAATATAAATCCTAATTAATTCCAAATAGGAAACAAATCAGGAAAACTATAAAGAATAAAATTAATTAAACGGACCGCAACCAGCCCATGAAGGTGGGCTCAAGCCCGTCCCTGCCTTCACTAAACCCAAGCTCCTGCTTTCTATCAATTTCATCCCCATTCGAAACAACCTTGTTCTCAAGGTTGAAATCTGGAAACTGGCTCACGAAACTCTCCTTACTCATCCCAGTAGCATCATCACCGGATTGCCCCAAGTATTCAACCTTTAGACACCCAAAGGCACACATCTAATTATTAATCGGGTCACCCTTTAACTCGACTCGATTACCTCCCACTCGAAATTCATAATCAATGTTTCCCAATTTGCCCGTACTTCTCCCAACGTGGCTAACCAATGTACTCCCAAAATGATGTCAACCCCGCCCAAGGCAAACACATAGCAATCTGCCTGAACAGCACACCCTGACAATGAGATAGGAAGTTGTCTACACACCCCCTCCGACTCTTGTCTATGTTCATCTCCCAGCTGCACCCCAAATCTGTCTGTCTTGTCTTGTCTTGTCTGGATGCAATCGTAATAGGGAGATCAAGGATGAAGAAATAAAGTTATGGCATGCACCACTGTCTATTAGAAGGGACACTGTTCACCTCGTTACCACCCCTCAGAGTCTCATAGTTCGAGGGCTGAAAATTCCAGTCATAGAATAGACGGGAAAATATCCTCTATCTCCTTTTGAACCCCCTGATCTTCCTGGACTTCTTCCTGTCCGCTTATCTCGCAATAATCATGCTGCTGGAGGTCCAACTCCTCATTCTCCTCCGCTATCATGACCCGCATCTGCTAAAATGGGCAGTCATGCCCTGATGTAAATGATTTCTTACACCTAAAGCATAATCCTTTTGCCCTCAATTCTTCTAACACCTTCGGCGGAAGTCAAGTGAACCTGGAACGTGCAGTAGATTGCCCGGACAGCCCCAAATTTGTCCCCCCGGGGCTTCCTGGACAGCCCCGAATTTGACCCCATGAGCTGCCCTGTATCCTTAGGAAAGATGCCACTCGACCCCCCATGGTGCCGTCACTCGCGGTCATGTTATGACTCAAACTCGGCTGAGAAAAACTGCCCGAACGTGCCCCTGCATTATTGTATAATTGGCTCCCTCGATCTCCATTCTCAAAGGACAAATTATCCTCAATATCCCTGGCCAATTCCATTGCCGTCTCCAAATTCTCCGGATGCAACGGTCGTAAAGAACCCCAGATCGGTCCTTTCAGCCCATTCATGAAATACCCTAAATATTGATCATCTAACAGCCCGAGAACTTGACTGGCCAATTGAACGAAAAGTGTGCTGTATCCGCCCACTGTCCCTGTCTGTGTGACTCCGAACAGTCGTTCAAACTGGCTGCCTTTGAACCGAGAGTTGAATCACGCCACCAATGTATGCTTGAAGTCCACCCATGATAAGTTCGGCTTTCGCGCCTTCAACCAGGTCTCAACCAGTATAGGGCAGCCTCTTCCATGATGACCATAGCTGTTACCAATTTTCTTTGAGGTGGGGTCTGATTTAGTTCAAAGTGTTGTTCAACCCTAGCGATCCACCCTATCGGGTCTTCGCCATCGAAAGGGGGCAGCAAGACGACTGCGGTGCTGCATGATCCACCATCGCGAGTGTGCGCCACACTAGAGGAGGCTACCGACGAGGGCTCCTTCATCTCCGGTGGTGCAAGCGCCTTCGTAAGCACAGCCAGGGAGGCTGCGAGGGCCCAAGCTTAAAGCTAAAACTCCAATATTATTAATTGATGGATCCAACAGCCCTCATTAGGGGTTTAAATAACTCTCTAATTCTAATAAGAATAAGAATCCTGATCAAATCATACTAGGAAACTAAATAGAATAGGAAACCTCTAATTCTAATAAGAATAGAAGTCCTAATTAAACCATTTTAGGAAACTAAATAGAGTAGGAAACCTCTAATTCTAATAAGAATAGAAGTCCTAATTAACTCCAAATAGAAAACAAATAATATAAATCGTAATTAACTCCAAATAGGAAACAAATAATAGAAATCCTAATTAACTCCAAATAGGAAACAAATCAGGAAAAATATAAAGAATAAAATTAATTAAACGGCCTGCAACCAGCCCACGAAGGTGGGCTCAAGCCCGTCCTTGCCTTCACTAAACCCAAGCTCTTGATCTCTATCACCGTCCCAAAAAGGTTCGCCAAATTTACTTTTCTTGGTCATTGGCAATCAACTTTGACCAATGATATTTTTTAATACGAAAGTTATACCAAAATGTTCCTTATTCAAAATCTTTTCATAAAAGTATAAAAGTTATAAATTATATACAAATATAATTATTAAAATCATTGTCCAAAATTTGCCATCATTGACCAAGAAAAGTCAATAAGGCGCACCTTTTCGGGACGGAGGTAGTATTATACAGTTCTATTGGGAGTCCCTTTCGAGGCGCAATAATGGGATATGAATGATTTAATTATGCATCTAAAATATGAATCTTTAAAATTGCAGAATGAACCGATAAATCCAATTAAATTTACAGTAAGGAAATACCTCGTTATATTTGTTCAATCACATCCTCTTGCTTCACTAAATATGAAGTACATTATATGGACTATACAATAAAACACTAGATGTCTAATCTTGTGCTGAAAATGTAAAGAACATACCTATTTTTCTTGTTCAATGCCTATACACTTTTGACATATGGTACACTTGTATGTTGTTGACCAGAAAAAAAGGTTGCTGCAGAAGTATAGAGAGGGGTCACGTGGGGTGTCATTATTGAATAGTAGCAGGTATATGGTATCCATAATTTCTAATATTTGAAACGGAATCTTTTAGGAAGTTTCAACTTTCAGTTATACTTCATTTTGATGCTGTATTTACTATGAGTTTTTTAATTTTGGGTGGGGAGGTGTGTTTTTGTAACAAAGAGATTGAAATGTTTATATTTCCTTGAATCTTCAGAATGGAGTTGCGAGAGATTGATGGACAAACATCCTCTTTCCATAAAATATCAACTAAAGGTGAAGCCATGTTGAAATAGGACTTTTCACAGATGTCACATTCTTTTAATTCTAATTATGGATATGCCTGTGTAGAAGGTGCTTCTTGTCCGAGCTTCTTGATGTACCCAGATGTTGACAAAGCTAAGGAGATACCATCTTCAATAAAGAGTCACATTGGCAATTCCAAAGGTTGCTTCTTTTCTGATAAGAAAAAAGGTGATGGTTGTGTTGGTATTAGTTTGTCAGAAGAGAAAGCATGCCATATATCATCTTTGTACACAAAGAAAGAGATTAGGCGGTCTGAAGGGGATAATAATTGTAGCCACTCATCCTCAACTTTATCACATATGAACTCCAATGGTTCCCCTGATTCTGTTCATCTTGATGAAAAATGTGGTCACGTATATGGTGATATTAGCAATGTATGTTCAGAGGAGTGCAATGTTGTGACTTGGAATGGAAAGAGGCAACTTGAAGAAGATAACTCTAGATTGTCGAAGGATTCTGCATTTTTAGAAGCCTGTGTAGAAGGTTTTTCCTGCCCAATCTCCCAGATTCACCTGAATGAAGACAAAACTCAAGAGATATCATTTCCATTGAAGATTCGCCATGAGGATTTGTTAGATTGCAGCTTTTGTGATGAGAAAAGAGGTGATATTTGTGTTGGTATTAGCTTGTCAGAAGAGCAAACCAACCATATACCATGTCGTGACAAAATGAAAGAGCTGAGACGGCTCGAAGAGGATAGTTCTAGGCTGTCATTCTCTACTTCATTGCATGATAAAAGAAGTGGCCATATTTGTAATAACTATTCAGAAGAACACAATGGCGTGACTTGGAATGGAAAGAGACATCCTCAAGAGGATGATTCTAGATTGTCATTCCCTGTTCCATTACAGACATGTTCTTATGCATACTCCAATGGTACTTCTGATCATGTTCATTCAAATGAAAAAGGTGGTCATATATATGGTGATATTAGTAATTTCTCTTCAGTGGAACCCAGAGGTGTGACTTGGAATGGAAAGAGGCAACCTGTAGATGAAAAGTCTAGATTGTTGTTCCCTGTACCATTACAGACATACTCCTGTCCGTACTCTAATGGTTCCCATGATCTTGTTCATGCTGATGAAAAAAGTGGTGACATTGATATTGGCTATTCAGAGGAACACACTGCTGTGATTGGGAATGGAAGGGGACAACCTGAAGTGAATGCGTCTAGATTGGCATTCCCTGATCCATTGCAGACAGATTCCAATGGATCCCTTGATTCTCCTATTCCTGATGAAACAACTGATGATATGTGTGCTGATGTTAGAAATGACTTTTCAGAAGAACTTGATGCTTCCATTTCATACTCTGCTACTCAGAATAATATTGCAGAACCTTCAGGGCTAACGCCCATAGAATCCTCGTGTTCTCCATCACATAAGAATCAGGACACCAAAAGTATCGAAAGTGATTTCTTTCAAAAACAAAATTGTTCTGATCCACCTTGCAATACTTTGGATGGAAAGATGGGCTCATTGCATATTCCAGAACAGCTACGTAATGTTGACGGAAATTTAGAAACATATTCTGCAAATGTAAGCGCAATTGCTCAGACAATAGCTGCTGTAACTCTTGGTACTGTTGAGCATATATATTTGCCTCTGGAAAACAAAAGGATGCAAATATCCAAACATGGTGACACCCTGTTTGATGAACTTGACTGTGAAGCAGATGATGTTGTGGATGCCCTTAACTCTATTGATTCTGAGTTAGGAAGAGATTTAGATTTTCAAACAAAGAAACATGTAGATTCAGACTCTTATTTGAATGCCAAAGTAGCAGAGGATATTGAGTCCAAAGGCATACCTAGGTCTGTTGACAAGCTCTCACCTAATTTGATTTCTGAAGCTGGTGAAATTCCCAATGGAAAGGTTAATCTAAATGAGAGTAGTGATGCCCGCGATACATCAGATGTAGAACCAATTACCAATTTGCCATCCTCAGTTTGTGTTTCTGCGATGGATGGCTCAGATGATAATCTTACATCAGTCGAGTTCTGGACAAATGGTGGCTTGCTCGGACTTGAGCCCTCAAAGCCTCCAGATAGTGTATTAAAAGATGTGACTGGAGTATCTATGGACATTCAAGATGATGCATCTTGCCCTGCAAAACAAAGTAATTATCCTACGGATGAAATGAATGCCAGAAGAACATCATGTGTGACAGCGAATGGCTCCAAATATATAGAAGAAAATCAGCAGTCTGTTAGGTGTAGTAGTAGTAATCACAACATTGATGGTGTCACTTTAAGCAATACATCCTCAAGATTTGCATCAGTTGGTTTGGATGCCAAAATGGAGAAATCAAACTCCTCATGTCAACAAAACTACATAAACAGTGTAATGGGTCAAGAGAATGTTAAGAATTCACCTAGGATACTTTCCCTTGGAAACAAGCTGCATGTAAATGGATGTCAGAATAACTTATCATCATTTGGCTCAGCTAACAGATCTGTGCAGAAGAATCAAAGTGAAGATATCAGTACTGCTAAAACTTTGGCCAAGAAGAGCACAAATATTTCTAGAAGTGGGTCACCAGTTATGTCGCCCTCTTGGTCACCTCCACTTGGTCATATTAAAATATCTTTCCAGCCTATAGATGGATTTGAGACTCATAAGCTGAAACTCAGATTTCCTGATAAGGGTGATATGTTTCCTTCATTCCAGCTGGTACCTGAGGCTGCTGTATCATTTCATGACATCAGTTCAGATTCAGATGATGACACATTTTGCAGATCATCTATGTGTATGTCGGATGATTGTCTCAGTCATCAGTCTGAATCTAACTCTGATGAGCAATGGGAGTCAGGTGAATCTTCTGGTATAAAGGACCATGAAGTATATGATGCTCTACAAAGAATATCACTGGTGGAGTCTTCTTCAACATCATTTGATAATAAGCTAAAGACACAGGGGGAGGAATTACAGCATGATAGTGTTAAGGGTCAATTATTTTTTTCTGAACACAGCTTTGAACAATCCACATCTGATTATTTCTATGATCTACCTGTTCTGGATACACTTAGACCTGCTCTACAGCAACCTCATAATAGCCAGCTTATGAAATCAATGTCAGATGTGACAGATGGCAGGAAAGATGCTTTACTTAATGATCATCATAATTATGTACTTGATGAGGAGAAGTGGATGGATACGTGCTTGCAGCAACCCAGGCCTGCCCTACTGAATCAAGATCTAGTTAGTGAGCCTGTATTTCAATTGAAAGGCAAGGTTGTTTTCAATCCCTTTTCTTCAATTTCATAACATTATCACAACCAGAATGTAGTAAAACCTCTAACATGAATATCTCTCTCACACACACACATAGAGTTTGGATCAAATAAAAAGGAGCCTTAACATGTAAAATGAGAATTAATCTCTGGCGTCCAAGTTGTCCATCTGATGCACAATAACTCAACTTGATGCACTTTTCAGATACACCTTATCTGATGCACTTTTCGAAAAGTGAATCAGATAAGGTTTCCTCGAAAGTGCATCAGATTGGGTTATTGTGCATCAGATGGACAATTTCGACGCCTGAGATTCTCATTTTACACGTTAAGGCTCCTTTTTATTTGAACCCTCTCCTATATATATATATATAGGAGAGAGAATTGATCCTGTCAGGCGCGTGTGGACTTGCCCGTTTGAGGGTCTTCCTGATGGAATTTTTTGATGAAAGTTTTTGAGCATGTTCCTTATCAAGTCTAGTTTATCCATTCCAAATTTGAGCTCAAAATTTAATCGGTAAGGCAGTTAAATAAATTCTTGAAACATACTGCGCATTATGTACATATATAAAGCGCAGTATGTTTCAAGAATTTATTTAACTGACTTCCCGATTGAATTTTGAGCTGAAATTTGGTATGGATAAACTAGACTTGATGAAGAACATGCTCAAAAAATTTCATCAAACAATTCCACCGGGAAGACCCTCAAACGGGCAAGTCCGCACGGCAGGTCTGGTCAGGCGCGCGGACCCTCAAACGCCCATATTTATAAGGGGTCAAATACAAACACCTCATAATTTACAAATTACAAATTCATCTTGGCCATCTGATGAGTTGATCTAAATGTTATAGAGGCACAGTGGCATTTTGGTAATACAACCAAACTTTTTTATCTAAATGCAACTGCTTATTTCATTGCATAATAGTATGCAAGTATGCAACACTTCAAACATTAATATGCAATACAAATGGCGTAAAGATGCATTATACAAATATTTGCACAATGGGCACTGTTTGTACCTGATCCCCCTATATATATGTGTATGTATAAACACGTTTACATATACTGATATATATACATATAAGTGTACACACACAGCTCTATATAGTGCTAATTATATATACCACTTTTAAAAGAGGCTAATAATATTAAAAGACTTTTATGTTGTGGTTTGGGTGTTTACCTATAAAAGACTTGTAGACTTATATATTTAGAGATAAAAATATACTCCCTCCGTCCCAAAAACATCTTCACACTTCGTTTTCCACACATATTAAGGAAATAAACTTACTGGGGGTAAATTTTACTGTTTTGACACAATTTAGCACTGTTTGGTACTGTTTGACACTGTTTTGATGTAGATAATTTGCCAAATAAGGAAGTGGGAAGAAATGTGAAGTTAATTTTGGGACAACCATTTAAGGAAAGTGGGAAGTTGTTTTTGGGACGGAGGGAGTACAGACTATAGTTTAATAGGCAATATTTTGTTTTTAGATGAAACTATGTTGACGACCTATTATGATATCTCAACCAATGAAACTATTAGGGGTGGTTGTTATTGTTTAAGTTTATACTTTTGGGTGTAATATCTAATACCTCCCTATTCAGTCATAACCTTTCAATTAGAAAAATACGTAGTATTACTTAGGTTCCTAGAGGTCTTATTGTAGTACATTGCTGTATTAGGTAAGAATTATTCATGTCGGGTGTTTTACATATGCAGAGGTTGGACATGCAACAGATAGATGAGCGGAAAGTAGCCAATCAGACTGCAATTCGTCAGGAAATGGGCGAGAAGGGAGACTTTCTGCACCAGATCAGAGCAAAGGTGATCTGTCATATTGTGTCGGATTTCTTTATTAGCTTGAATTTTGGAAGTAAATCTGATTCTGCACTCCACTAATGGCAGATAAGCTAGATATATGTTACGCCATTAATCTAGATTATAAGTTTATAACTATAATCAAAATAATACTTATTCAGTTACTATCAGTAGTTAATATTGGTACGAGAATATTTCAAATATATGTTATTCCCTCCGTCCCCTAATATTGGGACGGAAGGGAGTGGTGTGATGTTTAAGAAAAGTAGAATTATGTGGTTGATAATGAGTTGATAAAGTGGAAATAAAGTAAGTATGAATTAGAGCCACACAAATGTTACCAAATATGGTATGGGACAATAATAGGGGGACATCCAAAAATGAAAAAATGGCACAATTATAGGGGGGCGGAGGGAGTACTAATTATTGAAGTATAGAAAAGAGGAATATTCAGGCTGAAAAGCACACTTCATTCTCTAGTACATTCTGATATTTATACAATGACTTAGGTAGTCAATTAGGTAAGCTAGTAATTACAATAAATAAAAGGGAAAAGGGGCAAATAAGCCCTCGAACTAACCGAAAAAGTGCAAATCACCCCTTTTATAGGAGTCTCTGTCCGACCGTCGCCATTTGGGGTGGTTACCGGTGGATTTTTTTGATGATTTTTTAGCATCTTCTTCATTAAGTCTAGTTTACCCATATCAAAAAGCTAAAAATGCAATCGGGAAGGCAGTCAAATAATTGTTTGAAGATAACTGCGCAGTTAAACAACGCAGTATATTCAGAAAATCATTTGATTGCCTTCCCGGTTGAATTTTTAGCTGAAATTTGGTATGGGTAAACTAGACTTAATGAAGAAGATGCTCAAAAACATTCATTAAAAAATTTCATCGGGAACCTCCCGAAATGACGACGGCTGGACAGAGCCTCCTATAAAAGGGGTGAATTGCACTTTTTCGGTTAGTTCGAGGGCTTATTTGCACCTTTTCCCTAAATAAAATGATTTGAAACTGACCTAACTGAAGATCCTAATGAATTTGTGTAACTGACAACTTATTAATTTCTGGATCCTTTTATACGCCACTCAAGCCAGGTATTCATCACTCCCAAGAATACTGAGCTTGTCCCAAAGAACAATAAATCATTGTCGTGGCTTGGTGAGAACATCACCCAGCTGATTATGAGAGGGAATATGAAGTACATGAAGAGGTCCACGCTGCACACGTTGCCGAACAAAATGAAAATCAATGGCAACATGTTTCATCCGGGAGTGAAAGATAGGGTTTGCCGAAGATGTGGTAGCTCTTTTGTTATCACAAAGTAGAAGCAGAGGTATGAGAGATGAATGTCGTAGCTCATAAAGAAGTGATTCAATCCACAGAAGTTGAGACGCAGCACTGGATAGAGCCCTGTATTCTGCCTCTGTGGAAGATTTGGCAATTGTCCGTTGCTTAGATGACTTGAAATAGTGATTTGACTAGAAAATTGCATAGGCGCTAGTCGAGGAACAGTCACTTGGATTTCCTGACCAGTCAGCATCAACATAAGCACACAGTGAAAGGGGAGAACGATGATGGAGGTATAGGCCATGAGAGGCACTGCCGTGAAGATATTGCAGGAGGTGTTTTACAAGATGCCAATGATTAACAGTTGGTTTGTGCATAAATTGTGTCAGTTTGTTGATGGAAAAAGCGTTATCAGGTCTTGTGAGACTTAAATATTGAAGAGACCCAATAACTTGACGGTAAGAGTCGCATCACAAGAGCCGGAACTGTAAAAAAGGATCAAAGATACCGAGGAAGCCAAGGGTGTGGATACCACATTAGCTTCATGCATGTTCAACACTTGTAATATACTTGTGTTGATCAAGAGAGAGCTCATTTGGTGTTGGAGTGACTTGTATGCCAAGAAGTAGTTTAGGGATCCTAAGTCCTTAATAGAGAATTTATGTGCTAATGAGTCAGTAGTCCGCTGAACCAAACTAGGCGTAGAGCCAGTAACAACAATATCATCCACATATACCAACACATGTACTTCCTTCGTTCTTTAATAGTTGAAACAGTTTGACTTTCGCGTTTACCAACACACAACTTTGATTGTGATTATATTTAATTACATATTAGACTATTAGTAAATATTATAAAAAGTTAATATTTTAAAAATTCACATCAATATAAATTTAATAACATTTTATAAATAATAATTTGATTATATATATTAGTAGAAAATCTTGGTCAAAGTATGATGTGTGAGTACTGCAAAAATCACAATGTTGCAACTATTAAATAACGGAGGAAGAATATAAGATGGATGTGAAGAGAAGACGAAGAGACTGACATTAGAAACTGGTTGAGAAAACCCAAGACATGAAGAAATTCATTAAGAGAGATACCACAATCGATGTGTTTGTTTGAGACCATAGATTGATTTGCGAAGATGGCATACTTTCTCGGAACCATCATTGAAGCCAGGAAGTTGTTTCATGTAAACTTCCTCTTGAAGATCCCTGTGTAGATAGGCATTATTGACATCCCGTTGATTGATTGGCCAACCGTGAGAAAGTGTAATGGTCAAGACAACCTGAATAGGAACTGGTTTAATTACTGGACTAAATGTGTCAGAATAATCAATACGCGGGCGTTGATGAAATTCCTTAACCACCGACCTGGCTTTGAATCGGTCTAAAGAACCATCTAGCTTGTATTTCATCGTATAGACCTATTTGCATCCAACAACATTCTGACCAAGATGAGCGGGTACAAGTTCCCAAGTCCCTTGTTGAACCGAGATATCAAATTCCACATACATAGCCTCCCTCCATTCAGGTCCCTGTAAAGCCCGAGAAGCACAGATAACAATAAAATGATGAGGTAATGGTGACCGAGTGACAAGATTGGCTTGTTTACGAGGATAAAGGGTCAAGAAAAGTTAATATGACAAATCTTTTCGGGATAGAGGTAGTATATATTACCGTACCGAAATTTTTCTCATAATATGATACGGTACTGGTTTCCATCATGTGCAATGGAGCCAAAGACTCACTATTTTTTGGCTTGAAAATATGATGAAATAAAGCAAAATGACTCACTAAACTATACGCGCTTCTTTATTATGAAGTAGCAGTCAGTCCATGCAATTTTGGACTCGATTTTCACTATGGGTCATCCGGAAACAGTCTCTTTGTGCTTTAGTATAGGGGTAAGACTGCGTACATCCGACCCCCCTTACCCCACCGTAAGTGGGAGCCTTTGCGGCACTGGGGTAATGATAATGATGATAATGATGAATATGGTACGGTACTGGTTCTCAAGTAAGAACCGTTCAGAATCGTATTGAGCCGAACTGTCCCGAAAAACTGGTTCTTAAGTTATATTTTAATATAATATATTAAAATATATTATATATTAAATTGTTATTTGCAGGTAGTTTAGAGAATAACCTAGACTATGACTACTGAAAATTTTGCAATTACTTATTCTGCATTCCCTTTTCTTCCATATTTGTACAATTACTTATAAATACTAAAATCTAAAGTTTTTGGTACCTCATGGCCGTTAATTATTTAGAAATCGAATGGTACTGAAGGTCCGTACCAAAAGTTGGTACGGAACGGGACAAGTGCTATATAAAAGAACCCTACTTTGGAATGAGACAAGTTCTTTAAAATAACCATCCCGTATCGTTCCATGCTCACCCCTATTAACTAGGTAACACTATATCAGATCCCTTTGTCCTTTCAAAAAAATATTAGATCACTTTGTCTCAATCTTATTCTTTACATACTGGTTCTTTTATACATGTTGAACACTGAATCTTGAATTCTTGTTAGTTCGTAACAATGTACGGGGACGGATTTCAATGTAATTCAAAGAATGACTAATTTTTTTTCTTCTACTTGTATGGCATGGGCTCAGTCACTCAGTCTTAGATCGACATTTACACCAAAACCAACCCATCCAACTGGGCTTCCACCAGGTGTGAATGCAATTCTGGAGAAAGCAAATGCAATTCGTCAGGTAGTAAATTCTTTCTCTTTACCAGCATGAGGGGTCCCTAATGAAAGAAAATTAAAGGTCAAAATGAATGGTGGGGAGGAAGAAAATCTGTGTTGAGAAATATGATCTGTTTGGGTGACTGTAAAAGTTGGAAGAAATAATGTTCTAAAAAATGTCTGGTTCAATGTAAGAGTTGGGGTACATAATATTTGAGAGAGAATTCCCCAAATAGGAGTAAAACATAGGCAAAATGCAAAACTATGAGTACCATGTTTTGAATAGGAGTAACTTTAGTGTTTGGACAAGTATACCCCTACCCAAGCCCCAAGCCACACCAACTTTCATTAATAATTAAAACATAAAAGAAATACTCTGTAAGATTAATTAATTTATAATAAAATTGTAAAAAAACAAAAAAAACACAAAAAAATATCAAATAAAATATACTCCGTATTAAATAAAATAAAAAATTATTAAAAATAAAAAAATAAAAAATAAAAAATAAAAAAGAATGCAAAAAATATAAAAAAAAGATGTAGGCGTTTGCCGCCGACTCAACAACCTCCCAGCACCACCTGCTTCGACCACCGAAAAAAATGCCAACATTTTCTCGAAATGCCATCAAGATGGCAGTTGGCATTTTCAAAGAGTAAAACTGCCATTTTTATGGCATTTTCAAAGAAAAATGGCAGTTTTTACATAAAATGACATTTTTTTCGCCGATCGGAGGTGACATTGCTGGGTGATGACCGAGGTTGCGGGAGGCTTTCATAATTTTTTTATATTTTTTAATACAGTTTATCTAATTTTTATTTATTTTTAAAGTTTTTTATTTTTACAAAAATAACTTTTTAAATTTTTAATATTTTAATATTGTTGGGATGAACTTAGATTACTTTTAAAATTAAATGGCCTGCATAAAGGTATCGTTTCCCGTGAATGAACTTAGATATTTTTTTAATATGATCAAATAAGTCATATTTTAGAATTAACTAGGTTAGGGATATTAAGGGTACAAAATTAATGTTTACTCTTATTGAAGGAAGTTTTAAGTTTTACTCCTATTTGTGCAATTATGTTTATGTTTACTCCTATATTGGGCAATTTCTCTATTTCGATTTCATAACTCCTTCGGTCCTCAAAGCTTTTGAACTCTTTTTTCGTCCGTCCGAGTAACTTTTCTCATTTTGTTTTAAAAAAAGAAATTTGTGCTTTTCTCTCTTAAATCTCAACCATACACTTCATTTTCTTAATCTCGATGAACAGTCAAACTTGGACAAAATTCTCCGGGACCAGGTACAAAAAGAGAGTGATGCTAAATGGCTAGAATATTGCCAATTTTTTCAGGCTAGAATGGCATTTTTGTAATTCCAGAGTGCATTAATTATCACTTTTTACACATTATTAACTCTCTTTCATTGCTAAAGGTTACTCAAATTCCACTGCATGGCAACAAATTCTTGGCTTACTTAAATATAGCCTTAGATATTTATTGTGCAAAATATTGTTCCATCTGTTCCAAACAATATCATTATTTGCAATACTAACTCCACTTTTACAAACATGGTTGCTTGTTTTAATTTATATTATTGGTCCTAAATTATCAGCTATCCAAACTAGCTATTAGTTTTTTGAAGTATTTCAGCTAACCACTCTGTTTGGTGTACCAAACATAGCCACATAGCTCCCACTTCTGACTTCCATTTTCCCCTAATAATCTAAGAAGCACCGAAGCGCAAAATTTGACAAGGGAAACGTGCGAACGTAATTTCTAAAAAGTATAGGATATCAAATGTGAGGGAAACACGTAAATATTAAAAAATATAAGGATATATTTATAAATATTTTTCTTGTATGTACACATGTTTGTTGTTGTATATGCACATAATTTTTTCATATACCTTGTTTAATAACCAAATAATAAAAACAATCTACATGTTCAAGTTTAGAAATCATTACATATTAGTACATAAAATGCAATTCAATTCTAGCAATGCATTGCAATGTGAAACGTAACAATGTTGCTTGGAAGAAAATAGAAATACCATAAAAATTCACTACTTTTTTTAAAAAACACTAATTTCCATCATAAAATCTTCTAATGATGAAAAAATGGAAACTCAAGGTTTCCTAAAGGCTAATTATTTAGGAAACAAGTTTCCCAGTTCTTAATTACGCAAACTGCCCCGAAACGGCAATTTGAAGTTTTTAAGTTTCTGACATGCTTCTGAGTTTTAGAAATGAGGAATCGTGAGCCGCGGATAGTTTCCGTGCTTCATAGACCCTATCTTCTCCTTCAATTTTCTTGTGTTCTTGGACTTCTTTCAATCCCTAACTGTTGTTATGTATCCACTATCCAGGCTGTTGGGAGTGATGGTGAAGATGATAATTGGAGTGATACTTAAATCATCCAGACTCCAGAGTTAAAGTAGCCTGTGTGATATTAATGTAATAATCAGTTCTTTGTAATTACGGAGTACATATTAAAACAATAATAATATTTTGTAGGATATTATATATACGATCTTACAACGCATCAAACTTATAGACTGAATATACGAACTTATAACCAATAAATCATAACTTATAAAGCTTTCCATTGTAATTACGAAAATGCCACCGCGTCCAAAAATTTCAAAGGTCTCCAGACTTATTTTTTGCAGTGGCATGTTCGTAATTATTTCGATGGGTTTATAAGTTATGATTTATTGGTTAAAAGTTCATGTTTTCAGTCTATAAGTTAGCTTCACATTTCTCAGCCTAAGGGCACTTCTCCCCTTATCCGCTCCCTATATATATATATATATATATATATATATATATGGGAGGGTTCTAGTGAGAACCTTTCCTCAAATGAGAACTCATTTATAAATGAGAACTCTTAATCTCCACCTTTGATATATCAAATCAAGGGTTACAAATCCTACAATGCACATGGGGTCCTTTTTGTAATAATTTTATGATAATTAAAAAAGTACCCCGTTTGAATTTTGAATAATTACACAAAAGACCCCATGTGCATCCTACCAATGATTGAATAAGATAAAAGGTTGTGATTTATAGTTCTCATTATAAGGAGTTCTCATTTAGAGGTGTTCTCACTAGAACCCTCATATATATGTATGTATGTATATATATATATATATATATATATATATATATATATATATATATATATATATATATATATATATATATATGTATGTATATATATATATGTATGTATGTATGTATATATATATATGTATGTATATATATATATATGTATGTATATATATATATGTGTATATATGTATGTATGTATGTATGTATGTATGTATGTATGTATATATATGAGGGTTCTAGTGAGAGCTCCCTTTAAAATGAGAACCCATTTATGGATGAGAACTTCTAATCAACACCCTTTATTTATGGAATCAATGGCTAGAATTAATAAGGTGACGTTTTTGTAATAACTCTACAATAATTACAAAAAGACGCCATTTGAACTATCAATAATTACACGAAGTACCCCATGTGCATCATACCAATAATTGAATTAAATAAAAGGTTGTGATTAAAAGTTCTCATTTTAAGATGAGTTCTCAATAGAACCCTATATATATGTCGCTGAGGAATTTTATTTCATACTTGCAATGTAAACAGTAAGTTCGAGCATGCTGCATGCCTGAAATCTAAGTATAGGCATTTATTTCATTCTTTTATCCTTGAAGTAAAGAAATTGGTGTCAATAAGAATGAAACATTAGTCATGTACTTAAATAAGTTTCTGTTGAGTGCGATTGGTTTTGTTCGTCAGGATAAAACAATGATGGCATTTGAAGAAGTGCTATGTTTTAGGCAGGCATGCACCGGTTACGGGTCGGGTCGGGCCGGTCCAAACCGGGCTTTTATATTGGGGGTTAAGGCCCGGGACCATCCCAGTCTGGGCCTGGCTCGGGTAGCAGTTTTTTTTTGCTTTTCTAATTAATTCCTACCCCCACCCCAAACCCCTTCAAAACACTTAGCCCAACTCGTCTACCACCCAAAGACTTTGAAAAAAAAAGTTGGCCCGGACTGGCCGGGTCGGTTCCAAAGAAACCTGCAGCCCGAGTCCGCCTCCAAAACACCCCCGGGTTGGGTCCTAGGCCTAGGCCCGCACAGTGGTGGGCCGGTCCGGTCTTGCATAGTTGCAGGCCGGTCCGGTTCCCGGGTTGGGCAGACAGGAACCGGTCCATCCCTAATTTTAGGCTTATTTTCTCGTAAATGTATTATTTCGATACAGTGTATTTCTCCATTGATTTCAAGTCTTTGAACATTGAAGTTTATTCTATCACTATATTGAAGCCTTTTTATTTATATAATAATAATTAATTAATTGAGTAAGGATAATATTTATTTACCTAGTGCTAAAATCTAGGATTTAGGCATTTAGGGCCTGCTTGGTTTGGGATAATCTCACATGAAGGCTCTACAATGTGATGAATTGAATGTTAGATGCACATTTTTTGTTCATAGAGTTGAAACAAATCGACAAATTTAACGCTCATGAATCTACTATGGCAGTAATATAGAAGGGAATGTTAAACTCATTCATGTTTTAGGTTATTTGACATTCCCACATCTTAATTTTCTTTCGAAAACATTCTCAATTAATTATTTCATTTTATGTAATTTCTTTTCGATTCGTCCATCTTCAATTCAGATAGGGGTGGACCGGGAGTCGGGACTGGGTCGGGCTCTGGGTCGGGATTGGGCGGGCTTAAGAATTTCAGGCCCAGTATCGGCTTGGATTTTTACTGGGACCGAGTCGGGCCTAAACAGTACCGGGTCGGGCGGGGGCTTTGGGACGGGACTGGCCAATAAATTAAAAAAATAGTGCATCAAACATGGGTCCGGCCCGGGTCCGGTCGGGTTGAGACAAAAAACGAGCCTGTAGCCCGCCCTTATAGCCACCGGGCCCGAGTCGGGACGACCCGTTCCAGACTTCCAGTCCATCCCTAAATTCAGAGTTAAATTTTTTCTCACCATAGTTCCTCTTCATCTTATGACAATAGACAGTTAGTACTACTATAACTCCGTCCTACTTAAAAGGTCGCGTCCACTATTCTCCCGTCAATGTAAATCGTTCTTAATCTTTCACTTTATATATCCAACTTTATCAAAATTGCCTTTTTTGAAACTTTATAACACTTTAAATGTAATGTGTGAATATAGAAATTTTATTTACTAATAATAATCTTATTATTGACAAGAATCACTTGACTTTATGGTCATCAAAATATCGTAATTTATGAGACAACCTTAATTTAAGTGGGATAGAGGGAGTGTTTTTTAATTATATCTTCATGTCTATTCTTATTATTTGCATGATACTCTTTTCCTTAACATCTAAATTTCAAAAGAGTTTATGTTATAGGACAGATAGTTTATTTAAGTTTTTAATGAGTGAGTTATAAATTTTAATGGCAAAATTGATCATTTTTTTAAATTGAAAACTTTTTGAAATGATAGATAAATATATTTGGAATACTCTCTGAATAATTTTTCTTTTCATTTATGTATTTGATCTACAACGTTTTACCATTAAACATACCTTGCTTACAAGTTACAAATAATTCAAGTAGTTTTGATTTTATTTATTATTAAGATACTTCATTTTTTCCTTTAATTTAAATTACTTTAAATGTAGGTGATATAGTATGTTGTCGTATATCCCAGTGGTATCAACATCTATGTTAAGGAATACCCCGGAGTACATCAAGGCAAATCCTGTTGAGGTCGAGCCTGTTGAGGCCGAGCTCAAGAACAACTCTCATATCTTCGAGTTAAATTCAAAATTGCAGCCGAAGTCGAGGCCAAGGTCAACACTCGACCTAAGTTGGTAAGCATTTCCAGCACTGTGGCCGAGCCCAAGGCCAAATATGACGTCGTCGTACTCTAGATCAACAAAATAGAGCTAAGCACTCATACCCGAGTTAGGTATCTACACACTTAGGCCGAAATGGGCTCGGAATCTTAGATAGGCATCAAGCACCGGGACATTTTAGCATGAAGATCACACATACTTTAAGGATTACTTCACCTCAACAACAATTATCCCAAGGATGACATCACACAATTCGATTGAAGTTGTCACTAACCAGGTTTACACGTGTGGCTTACCCAGCCATTCTTGGTACACAAAGGACAAAAGCTAGTACGTACAATAGTGTCAATCAGTCAATCAATCAAATATTCTCTACGCAATTAAGCCTCACACGTGGCAATAGATTAATTGATCAGTTACTTTTACTTGTTCACCAAATATTTCCCTGTACACAATAACTATCACCTTCTAGCTTGTAGAAAGGGATCACAATTCTGATTCTCAAGCAAACTGTTACTATGTCAAATTTCTTATTCAGTTCATACTTAACACATTTTCCGACTCTCCCTCTGTTTTACTACCCCTAGGTTGATAAAGCCACCATCTGGTGCTTTGATTAAGAGCCTGGATTTTAATCAAGTTTAGACCCTCCCATAAAGCTTCAGATAACAACAATGGTGAAGAGGACGCAAAGAAACAGACGCATAGCGACTCCGGTGGCTAACCTGGAACCTTCCGTGGAGACCACGACCACTTCTGGTGCCAGAAAGGCGGCCAAGGGCAAGCAAGTTGACTCTAATGTTGTGACACCGCACTCGAACGCCCTTGAAATTCAAATTAAATATCGAAGTTTATGTATTGAATTTCCCTATTATCGAACAATTGTAAAACGATTAATGTTTTACGTAATGCGTGATTAATCATATTACTGTTTGGGCTCGTATAATAGTAATGGGCTTACAAATACTTAATTGGGCAATCTTATCAGATATAAGATCCCAACACTATGTAATAAGGATACATAACCTTTCGATGCAAAATAAGAACGATCGGGCAGCCCAAATGTTATTTTGGGCCTAACCTGCTAAAAATAGTAAGTATTCAAGAATGACATCCTAGGCCCACTCGAGGATGGTCCACACGGCTTGTAGCCCAGGAATACAAATTCTAAGGTCATAAATAAGTGATAGGATGCTTTGAGAAGAATACAAATGCCTATGGTCCCATCTTTGACATTATTGAGCTAAATAATTGGAGTATGTTTTTCTTCTATAATATTCATCATGTAAATTATTGGGATGATCATACTCATATTAGAGATCAATAATATGATGTAGGGAGTTGACTTGGTCTATATAATAGTGAGTACAAAAAGACATCTCATGACAAAAATAAAACAATCGGACCCATCTTTCCATTTTTTGGAAGTATTGGTAGATATTTTGGACCCCAAATTGATTGGGATCATTTGGGAACCATTTCACATGCTTTAGTACCTGCAAGACAAAGAAGAATGAGTGAGATGACTAAATGGGGCGGACCTATTGAGTTGAGAGCTCAAGCATTACAAAAAAGAAATAAAAGAGGAGACCCACTCCATGTTTGATAGCAACCAAACACCAACCTTTCTTTTGTGCACCACATGCTCTCCTAGCATGATTGAGAGGACTGTTAAATACCCCCCATCACCCCATTCGAACTTGAGAGATAACGAGAAGGAGAGAGCCACACAAACCAAAGAAAAGTAAGAGAGAGGAAACTGCCGAAGGGTAAATTTCTAGTGCGTAGGGTTGATTGTATGAGTCATATCTCGGGCTACAATCGTCTAAATAAGGCGTGCGAGGTGTCTACAGAAATTTATCAAGATAAGGAATCCGTAGAGATGCGGTTTGCAGCAAACGGAGCA